GACCAATGCCGAAATCCAGCAGCTGGGCTCCCGGGGCAGCTGACACGGGGTTTATGGCAGCGGGGACGTGCTGCCTCGCGTGCAGGGGCTGCCTCACAGCTGGAGGGGTCACCCCGCTCTCCGCTGGCCTTAATCGCCCGGGATTGCTGCTGGGAGAGGGACGGAGGCAAGCGTGGCTCAGCCTCGGGTGGGCCAAATAACAGAAAGTCTCCCTTTTTGATGCCTTTTTTATAAGAGAAATTCCCCAAAGCGCTTCGTAGCGAAGTTAGGTATGGGCAAAAGAGAGAAAAAATCATCCTGCTTGTGGTTAATAAATAGGCTTTGTTTTTTTCTTACACAGGATGTCAGCGTGGATCCTTGAGGTGGCTGCTTTAGACGAGGGTATGTTTCTTCAGACTTTATGTCTCTACGCTTAATGCTAATATTTCACTGGACCAGCACAATGCAGTTTTCCTCATTCTGTAGAGACCACAAGGCTCTTAATGATCATACCGAGCTCTTATGTTGAGCTTTGGAGCGTGTTAGAATTAATGAAGCCCCCAAAACCCCCATGGTAGCAAGTGACTTCATATAACCACTGATTTTTATTTTGTTTTTAAGAAGAAAAAAGTATTCCCGTATTTGTCAAGACTTGGTTGTTTCAAATGACTTTCTCCGGAAACCAAAGGAAATAGCAGAACAGCAATTTTTTGATTGGTAGCTCCAAGATAAAACTTCCAGCCAAAATGTTAAATGTTCCATCATTTCCCCCAATAACCACCTCTTTATACTATTAATATGAACCAATAATTTAAGTTCTGCATGTTTTGGGTCGTGTATATGCCTAAATTCTTCAGGCAATGAAGATACAGAGCACGTTAATCCAGGATTTCCAGTATCCAAGCCCGGAGTGAAGACAGAGCGCCTGCGTTCGCGAAGGGCCAATACCCCTGAATTTGTGCCCAAACAGAAACTACAGGGTTCAATGTGATGAAGCCTGTTTTAACAGACACTGATCTTCGGTACTAACCTTTAACTGGAAGTAGTCCTAACTTTGGCTAAGACAGGAAAACGCGTGCTACGAACCAACCAAAGAAACCAGCTGCTAAATGCAAACATGAGGAAGAAATCAAACCGCGAAGGTTTCCCACAGATCGATTTATTTGGGAGCGTACCTGAACATATCTTTTTTTCCTGGCTTGGAACAAGAGGTGTCACCTGGACATTACTTCTCAAACCTGCCCATGCTGTTGCAGCAGACACCGTGCGGCCGGCTGTTAGCTGCGTCTTAGGCGCGGAGGGAGGTTTTGTTTTGCTTTTAATTGTCTCTATGGAGAAGGAAAAGCCTCTACAGAGAGGTTTTAACACAGCATCGCTGCTGCTTATTAATTCCCGAGATCTCCCTAACTAGCTTTGTTTCCTCTCCGCAGCTCGGCGTTCTCTTTCCCCGGAGCACGGAGCTACGCGCGCCCGGCGTTTGTCGCTTGGTTAAAGCCCGCGTTTCCCTGCCGCCGCGGACAACGACGCCCTTTATTGGCTGCGGAACAAGATAACGGGCTTAATCTTCCCAGTAACACGTGAGTTTTCATGTATCACTTTAATCTGCCAAACACTGCGGCCGAGTGTACCGTCACATGCCGATTTTACTTTTCTATGAGGCAGCGACTCCCCCGGCTCAATGATGGATTGTTTGCTCGCTTTTTAACAACAGTCAAGATGGTGAATGCCCCGGGGTGACAGACAGGGTGCAATGGGAACGGCAGCAAATCTGATGGCCCGGTTCAAGTTCACCTGACAAAGCTGAAGCAGTCTGCAAGCAGCATTCGAGAAAGGATTATTCACACTAGCATTCTATTTTTGAATGCATTTTTCTTCCTGCGCAGCTGCCCAGCTCCCTGACACTGAAGGTTTATGCACCATAATAAAGAGATTTAATTTTTTTTTTTCTTCCCCCTCTTCTCTTGCTTCTCCCGCTTTACACCTAGTTCTAATCGGTCCGTGCGGCGATGGGGCATCTTTCCAAACAACTCGGCACAAACATCACCTCGAAAACAATAGCGTCGCTAAAAAGCGGGAACAAAAGCCTAAAAAAATTGCTGCTGGCTGCAGAAACAAAAGCGGACGGTTTTGTTAAAGCTAACTCTCTGCTGGGGACCCATCTTTTTGTGAGACTTTGACGCTGCGTTCCCTTTCGCGTCAGGAAAATCTCCCCGAAGAAGCGATCCCGGCCTTTGAGCTCAGGGGCAGTGGGACATCGGGAGCACTGGAGGAGAAGAGGAGAATGTGAAATGAAGCAGAGCTCCGTAATATACGTGGGACTGTCCACATACTCTGGAGGTGTTGGCAGAGTTTCAGAAGAATAAAATCTAGTCTCATCGTACTTTCTTTTGGCTGGAGAAGCGGCAACAAATGTTACCTCCGGTCTTGTGTGTTATTCCAGTTCTACCTGGCACCGTTCAGGGGAAGATGTGCAACTGTTGCTCAAACTGTTGCCCAGGAGGAGCTTTTCTGCCTGCCTGGTTCAGCTAGTAATGCCAGGAAAGGTGTGCTGGGAGAATCTAAAATCACTTTCCATTTTTCTAAAATGTATTCATCAGCCTATTTGACTTGAAAATCTTTTTTTCCCCACAGTCTGAGTTTGGGTAATACTGCCAATAGTTTTTTGGTGTTGTGGTTTTTTTTTTTAACTATTCACACCAGTTGGCTTAATTCAGCATTGAACGCTGTAGCATTTCATGTGAAGAGCTCCCATCCCCTCTTTTTTATGGCTGTTTTCTTTACAGTGCACATATACATTTTCCGACTATGCCAGCAGGTTTGGCTCTTCTCAGCTAACCAGCCTGGGGTGGGAAAAAACCACAAATATTTCAGCAGTTGAGCTAGAATTCACAAAGTTGGGAGGGCATCACTTGCCTCTAAGCACTTGTGAAATTTGCTGTGACAGAGTAACTCCAGCAGTTGGGTGTCTCGGAGGTGGGTGAGCGCTTCTCGCGATGGGAATTGCTGTAGGTGTCCAAGGAGGTCACACGAGTGAATGGCAAGCTTGAGTTTAACAAACAAACAAACAACAAAAACAACCCATAAAAGGTCATTTCATAAAAAGCAAAAGGCTGCAGCTGCCTCTAACGCTGGCACGCACTACTGAAGCATGTGGCCAGCCTCCATGCCATGGGCTGTTTGGTCCTGGTGCTAAAAATCAGGGGCTCTCCAAGTTCGCTCAATAACAGCCCCAA